AGGTAGGAAGATTGCAAAGCAGATGGTTCTGGGCTGCTTCGTGGCTTACTCTGCTGCTGGGGTCTGAGCAGTGGACGCGGAGGACAGGAAGCTGTGTGGGTACTGTTTCATTACAGGCAGGGTCTCCAGGAACTTGCCCCTGTGTGGCTGTCTCTACAAACTACCTGAAGGCATTCTGTAATCTATTCAGGCATTGTTTGCTGCTGCAGAGTTGGTTTTGACTGTCAATGTGAGCTTGGCGGTTAATAACTGCAAAAGGGCCTTTTATTATTCATGCTGTCTCTGTCTCTGCTGCCTGCATTTGACCATTCTTGATCTTTAGATTCCCCCTCTTTTTGTGATGCATTTCCTCCCTTAACTGATTCAAGATTAAGTTGTAGGATGAGGATTGTAGTAGGGATGTTACTGATTGATATGCACCATCTATTGAGAGCTTTAAGGTGAAACAAAGGGCAGAATTATCCTTGGAAACACTCAGTTCACCATGTCTTAAAAAGTCCATGCCAGGCTTCTGTATAAATAAAGGGGACAGCGTTCTTGCATTGTCCATTATGATCCTGAAGTTGTAGTGGTCCATTTCTTTTCTCCCTACACTTGCTCCACGTACCCGTCTTGTGTTGTGAACTTGGCTGGAGCTGCACTCCGGCACCCTGCCTTACTGACCTTTCTGCATCCTGGTACTCCCTTCTTTAGTGCCCCCAGGAATTGCTAATGGGGGGAGTTGGGAGTTACAGACTCTTCATCCTGAGCGACTCTAGACAGATACATGAGAACCCAGATGTAACAGAACCTCTTGTGGGAGTTCAGAATCATTGTTTGAAGTAACACTAATGATAAAATAATTGCGGTTTTTTCATTGACAATCTGTGTTTTGGTGCATCATGGTTCCTAGGGCACGGCCCTTGCAGGTTTCGGAGGGTGTCTGGGAGTGGGCATTGTTTGGAGTTGGTATCGCTTGTTCCCCGGGTGAGTGAGCGAATCTTCTTTACTGTGGAATGACATGCACAGGGACATAAACACACCCCCATTGATGTACACGTGCTCTAATGGCGGAACTTGTGCTGGGTACTGAAGGAAGAGTGTCAGACACCCAGAGAGGGAACAGAGGTCTTGGTGTGGGTGGGATTGTTGCAAGGGTCCAGGCGGGGGCGGTCCATGCTGCCTCTCAGTGGGAGGTGGGTGGACTGGAGGTGGACGGCTGAGTGCTGGTTGAAGTGTGCACTCCTGTGCATTTGCACTTGCTGAAGGAGCCACAGAAAGCTCCCTCCTCTCCCAGGATTTGTTTGTAGCCACACATGCAGGCTGGGTTTGTTTGAAGGAGGCGCTCCTTGTTTTCTGTATTCCTGATGTTGGGACATCTGGGGCATAGAGACAGCACACCAGCACACCAGGAGGTGGTTGTTGATGGCAAACACCCTGTCCCTTTCCTGTGCTGAACAGCCATTCCAGCCATTCCAGGGCGCAATCTTATGGACAGGACCGTCTTCCCTACCCTGAGCACCTCGGAGGCAGATACCAGAACCCTTGGGACAGGTCCTGTACCCTGGAGCCTATAGGCTAAGCAGAGGATAAGTCTGTTCAACATGCTTGCTAGTTATTTAAGACAGTTAAAGTTCTAGTTCATGCGTTATTACAATTCTATTACGATGTTATTAAGTGCAGCTAATTTCCTCAACCTGGTTCTTTACCTTGAGTAGAAAACATCAGACTCAAGGAGGTATCTTAGGTTTATTGCAGCGGGGCAGGAATGGGATGGGGTGGTGGGGAGGCGAGGGGGAAGGGGAAGGTGAGGTGGGGGAAGGCTGGTAGGAGAAGGGAGAGACAGAGCTGCACCTGGGGGCCTTTTTGTCACTCAGGTGAGCCTGCAAGGTGTGGGGGCGGGGATTGGGAGGGATTGAGGGCAGGCCCCGGGGGATTGGTGCCTGAGACTGCCATAGGTGATTGCCTAAGAATGATTGGCAAGTGGGTGGAGCTGGGGAAGGGTTTGGGAGATTGGGGGTGGGATTCTCAGGTGAATTGGCTGATTGGTGGGCGACTGGACTGATGTGAGCAGTGAGGAAGAGGAAATGGTGCCAGTCCAGGGTGGGATATTTGAGTAACTCCTTACAATGTTTACTCTACCTGCCCACTGCAGCCTTTGACTCAGTAGGACCCTGCATTGTGTGATGCTAGCATCCCAAGTTGGGGCCTTTTCAAGACCCAGCTACCCTCTTCTGATCCAGCTCCTTGCAGGTGTTCCTACGAAGGTGGTGCAAGGTACTTGGGTCCCCCCACCTGGGGGGGTGGGGAAACGCAGCTAGAATTCTGGGCACCTAACTGGCCAGGCCTGCAGGTTTTGTGGCCATCTGGAGTATGAACCAGAGGATGGAGAATTTCTCTTTATTTCTCTCATTTTGTCTTTCAAATAAATCTTTTTTTAAAAAATGATAGTTTATCTTTTTTTTTTTTAATTTATTTTTATTGTAAGGGCAGCACAAAGGAGCTCTGTGTTCCTGTCTTGATCGCAGCCATAGTTACACCGCACATGCTCCTTGAGTGGAGTCCTGATGATCTTAGGGATCCTGGACGAGTCCCCATTTATTGTGCCCAGATTTTAAGATCCCATAAATCACCAGGAGTCTGAAGTCGATCCAAGTGCACAAGGATGGTTTATTCTAGCTCAGCACATGTGAGCCTGGGTTATTGATTGAAAGCAAGCAGCTGGCTGACCAACCAGCCAGCTGGGACCAACACCCCTTATCAGGAGTGTGGCCACTAGCATTCTTTATGGGTGTTGGCCTGAGTCCTGCTGCACCACTTTAGATCCAGCTCTCCACCTGTGGCTGGAAAGCAGGAAAGATGGCTCACATCCTGGGACCCTGCACCCACGTAGGAGACCCCAAAGAAGCTCCTGGCTCCAGATGCCTGGTTTCGGCTTAGTTCAGCTTCAGCTGTTGCAGCCACCTGGGGAGTGAATCAGCTGATGGGAGATCTCTCTCTGTCTTTCCTCTCTGTAACGTTGCCTTTCCAATAAAAATAAGTTTTTCAAAAAGATTTGTTTATTTTGAAAACCAGATTTATAGACAGAAGGAGAAAGGAGGGAGAAAGGGAGAGAGGGAGAGCGTACAAAAGAGCTAAAGCATGTTCTTTCATTCGCTGATTCACTCCCTAGATGACAGCAGCGGCTGAGGGTGGAACAGAAGTTCATAGCTGAGAGCTTCATCCAGGTCCCTTCAGGATGTAGCAGAGGCTCAAGTGTTTGGACCATCTTCCGTTGCTTTTCCAGGACGTAGCAGGGAGCTGGATTGGAAGTTACACAGCTGGACCACACAGTGGTTCCCATATGGGATGATGCTGGTGCAGCAGGCCATAGCTTTACTCTGAGCCATGACGGTAATGATATTTAACAAATCAAATGTGTTCAAGTTAGTGGCCTTGAAGCTTAGTACACCTGAAGTAAGACTCCAAAAAGATCGTAGAACATAGTATTTAAAGGTGAATTTATCTTGGCAGAATTTTTTTTTTAAATGCATGAGTAGTATTTTTTTCATGATACACATTTACCACAGAATGTTCGCCTACCTCTGTGTGTGTGTGTGTGTGTGTGTGTAGTGACAGGCTTTGGAAGCACAGTGTCACCATGTGGTGATAAATTGTGCCCACGGTAAAGTGACTGTTTACCATGAAGCAGAGTGATGGAGGGGATTGCAGGCAGATGAGTTTGCTTCTAATGGCTTCTAGAAAGAAGACTGTCATGTACTCTTTAGTGTTTCCTGACACGTGTTAATCCTTTACTTTCCTCATTTTGAATCAGCCAGGACACACAGCTGTGCTCAGGCCCACCCAGTGCGGTGTGGCCAGCAGTGGCAGTTAGTCCTGGGCTGGGTCACGGACGTGGGCCCCAGGGACTGCAAGGACATCCTTGAAGAGTCAGAACATGCTGGAAGGGGCTGTGGATTTGGTTTTGGCATCTTCTAACTGTGGCCTGAAACTCGCTCTGAGCAACGTGGCTGAGGCCTGAGGACCTGTGTCCGAGCCACTTGCCTGCCCTGTTGCCAGGAGAATGTTCCTGCAAGACTGTGGTGATTAGAGACTTCAGTAAAGAGCTGACAGCAAGCAGAAATGTAAATGTTTATCTGTATTGAGGGGAAGTTCAGTTACGCTTGATTATTTTGTGCAGAGGTTGAAGAGTGTATGTGTCCATTCTGGTTCACGTTGAGAAAGCTTGCCTGGGCTTGCTGCAGTGTGATGAGGCATCCTGTTGAAGGCAGACCTGAGGAACCGCAAGGACGCTTTCACCATCTGTCAGTTGGACGTTATCATTGCTTTGACCGTCACGAGCTGGCTGTGACTGCTGCACTGCTGACGGCCTTCAGTGCGTCTGGAACCCAGGAACACATGGCTTTTCTCGCAGCTCTAGGCCGTTGCAGAAGGAGCATGCATTCTGTTAGGACATCCTAAAGCACCTAATGCACACAGTAGGAAGCAAATGAAGCGTTTAGAAGGGAGCACGCCTTTATTCAGACTAAAGCTGACACCCCCTCCGTCCACCTGCCGTAGTGCGGTATGCACTTGAATGGTGCCTTGTGCTTGCTGGGTGAATTAGCCTCATTGGGTGTGCCCCAGGCCTCCCCAGGCCTCCGGTGCAGGTGGGCGAGGGCTTGGCCCGGCTGGAGCTGGCGCCAGGGCACTATGGTTTTTTTTGTTTTGTTTTGTTTTTTGCATCCAACAGTGCTGCTGCTGTTTTTTTTTCTTAAACTAATTTATTTATTTATTTTTATTTTCTGTACCCCTCCCCAAATTCCTTCCCCCCACTAAATTTCCTCATGTTATTACTATAGCATAGCTCTTCGTAAACAGTCACATGTTCATTGCGGGCATGGACAATGACAGAAGAGTTCAGCCTCCCATTGTCAAAATACAACTGATAGTTTCTTTAGTAGTCCATCTTTGATCTGGAAGTAGAGATGTACACTGTACTGCATCCTCACATCTGGACATGATAGTCTCCATTTCACAGTCACCACACCTCCCTCTTAAAAGCCACAATACAAAATCAACAAAAGGAAGAAAAACAGAAATTTACAACACCATGAATTTCTCAAGGTTTTGATAACTCAACAGTCCTGAGTTGCTGGTGATCCCGCGACTCCAATCACGATGAAATCTCTCCCTAACCCACTGGCTGCTCTAGTCCACCCTAGTGTCTCCATATGCCCAGATCTTCACTGCCAATCATTGGCTGGGGTAGTTGATCAGTTTATTCTGTCCTCTGTCATGTTACCAGTTATCCTCTGGAGGGTCTGAGGTCCTGTCATATCCTCCATGTGCACTTGGATGTGCTGACCTCTGCTCCGTCTGAGCTACTAAGGAGGCCCAGCTCTGACACGTGCACCCCCACAGTCAGCCCATGGAACCTACAATTCTCTCCACGGTTAGGGTTTTGAACCCAGCACTTCAGTTAGCAGGGAATTACCCAAGAAACCTCACCTGAGGTGATCCCTGACGAGATTCTTGTGTGTGTTTGCCAATATAGGGTCTGGCACAGTCTGTCACCCAGATCAGCCTACGCACACACTGGGTCAGTTCTATCTCCAGCCCCGTGTTTTATGCAACCCAGTGGGTGTTGGAGCTCAGTCCGATCCTGCCCACCACTTACTCGGCCTTCATGTAAACCAGTGGGAACTGCAGTCTAGTCAGAGCGACCCATAAAACCCCCCACCAGGCCCGCCCCTGCCTTGGTTCTCGTGCTTGCCAGTATGTAGAGTAGACTGGTCCCATCTGTCCCACATCCCATTCAACTCTCATACGTGTTGCTGGGTATTGAAGTCCAGTTTGTCCCAACCAGCCCCACTATCCAGTCCACACTGGTGCCAGTGGGTGCCACCATCTGTGTAAGCCATGCCTGACAGAATTTGGCCCCTGTGCCAGCATCTGCCAGCTGATGCTGTGGCAAAGCCCAATCAATCCACACCAGCACTGGCTTATGCATGTACCAGAAGGTACAGTCTGCCCAGTCTGGCTTTTCACTAATCCAGCTCACATGTAGGTCATTGGATGTGGCCCTGCCCGGCTTGGTCTACCCCCATCCCAGCTCTCATACACACCAGTGGGAGTAGTGGCCCAGCAGGGGGGCCTTCACAGTCCCCTCACTGTGGCCATCTCCCTCTAACCCCCCTTGTTTCATATGTTCTGGTTTGGATGCTGCAGCCCAGTCTGGCACAGCCCCCTCACCTCAGCATTTGCCAGTGAGTGCTGTAGCCTGGCCAGGTCAGGTCCAATTCCAACTCACACTGGTGGGGGCTACAGCCTAGCCCAGCCCTGCCAGCCCCCAATTCTGGCCCTCATGTGGACTGGCTGGTATTGCACCCTGACCCAGCCTGACCCACACTCCATTCTGGCACTCAGATTCGCCAGTTAGTGGTATGGACTGACCCAGCCTGGCCTGCCCCCAACCTGCACCAAATGTATAGTGGTGGGTACTGTATTTTGGCCTGGTCTGGGCTGCTCCCCGTCTTGGTTCTTGCACTCACCTGCAGGGAGCAGGTCCCAACAGAGGAATTCCCCAGATTCCTTCATCTGGATCTCTCCCAATGCCAGAAATCGTGCACACGGGTGGGTCCATGGGCCAGCCTTCTTAGTCAACCTCCTGTCCTAGCAGGAACGGTGGCCTTTCCTCACCGGCCCTCACCCATTCCGGTTCTTGTTGGGTGCTACAGCCCAGCTGAGTCTGATCCATACTCAGACACAGGTCACACGTGGCTCCACATGGGCAGAGACCTGGCCTAGCCTGTCCTGTACTTACCCTGGTTCTCACAAGTACCAGTGGGTGCTGGATTCTAGTCCAGTCTGGCACATCCCAGACCCAGCCCACATACATGCTGAGGGATTCTGCAGCTATATCCAGACCAGACTGCAGTCCCCACCCTGGCCCTCACGCTCTCTCTCCAGTAGGGATTACAACCCAGCCAGGGTCTCCCTTTTGCTCCCCAGTCAGGCCTACTCCCTTCCACAGATCTGCATATCTATGGATGTTCCTAGGCAATATTTTGTCATCCCATGTCCCCAGAGCTCGTTGGCGGGCAGTCGGTGAGCAAAGCCTGGTGCCCGAAGGGCCGTGCACTGGCTGCCTGTGGAATAAAGAGGGTGCCGGCTGGTTAAAAAGCAGCCAAGGGGGTTGGGGGTGGGCTTCTTTCTGCGCTTATCGTGCCCGACCCGCCAGTGCTGCTTCTTGAAGTCCACATTTTTTAGTTGGTCTTTTCCTGTCACGCACATGCCAGGGGTTCCAGCGTGTGTGTAAGTGGAGGCTGACCCTAAGCAGCTTATGCATGCTGGGTGGTTTCCAGTCTTTGCTGTGATCCACATGGTCTTCCCCGAAATTGAATTTTAATCAGATACCTAACTAGTCTCTAGGTTCCAGTTTTTCTTTGTCTGAAAAGCAAATGAAAATGATTTCTAAGGAACCTCATGTAAGGTTCCAGTCCCGCTTGTTGTATGGTTTCCAGGGGTTGTGTTCCTGAGGTCCACAGCATAGATTTCAAGGCGGCTGGGGTTTGGGATTTGCTTGGTCCCTACTGCGTCCCCAGGCCAAACAAGAGTTCATGTGCACCATGTGTTTGCTGAACAAGTGGAGCAAAGCCAGTACAGAAACTTTGGGAAGAAATGGAAGAAGCGAGTCCCTGACCGGGCAGTACCAGCATGCAGTTCTGCGGGTGAATGGTGTTGTGCTGGGCGGGTCCTTCACTGGCTGACCGTGTCCTCTAGCTAGTGTCACACTTGGATTCTGCAGAGCATGTCTGGCTTGTCCCCGAGTGTTGCTCCATTCATCATCTCCAGCGCTTGCTGCTCTCCTGTTCCTCTCTCCTACCTACTCACTCTCTGCTGCAGCTGCACTTGGCTTCCTTCAGATTCTCGGGGTCCTTGTAGCCCATTTTTTTTTTCAAAAGATTTATTTATTTTGATTACAAAGTCAGATATACAGAGAGGAAGATCTTCCGTCTGATGATTCACTCCCCAAGTGTCTACAATGGCCGGTGCTGCGCCAATCCGGAGCCAGGAGCCAGGAGCTTCTTCCAAGTCTCCTACACGGTAGCAGGGTCCCAAGGCTTTGGGCTGTCCTCGACTGCTTTCCCAGGCCACAAGCAGGGAGCTGGATGGGAAGTGGAGCTGCCAGGAATAGAACCATTGCCCATATGGGATCCTGGCGCGTTCAAGGCGAGGGCTTTAGCCTAGCCGCTAGGCCACCGTGCTGGGCCCCCCACGTTTTGGCCATCCTGGTGTGGGCTAGCCCCTGACTACACCTGGTTGTGGTCAAGGTCATCAGAAGAACAGAGAAGCACAATTTACTTACAGAAAAAGACCAAAGTTAGGTGTGAGAGGGTGTAAGCTCAGGAGGGAAAGAGTTGCACCTAGCAGGGTTTAGGACCATCCTCCCCCCACCCCGCTGCCTTTTTTTCACATTTATATATTTATTTTACTTGGAAGCTAGAGTTACAGAGAGAGGGAGAGAGGGCAATAGAGAGGCAAAGAAAGAAGAGAGATCCACTGGTTCACTCCCTAAATGGCTGCACCAACCAGAACTGGGCCAATTTGAAGCTGGGAATTAGAAGTTTCTTCTGAGTCTGCCACATGGGTGCGAGGGCCCAAGGCCTTGGCTGTCCTCCACTGCTTTCCCAGGACATTCTGGTGGAGAAGGAGCCAAAAATTGGTTCAATGGACAAAGTCTTTATGGATAGAAATCTTTTTTTTTTTTTTTTAAGATTTATTTATTTTTATTGCAAAATCAGATATACAGAGAGGAGGAGAGACAGAGAGGAAGGTCTGCTGTCCCCTGATTCACTCCCCAGGTGTCTACAATGGCCGGTGCTGCGCCAGTCCGGAGCCAGGAGCCAGGACGTCTTCCAGGTCTCCCACGCAGGTGCAGGGTCCCAAGGCTTTGGGCCATCCTCGACTGCTTTCCCAGGTCACAAGCAGGGAGCTGGATGGGAAGTGGAGCTGCTGGGATTAGAACCAGTGCCCATTTGGGATCCTGGCAAGTTCAAGGCGAGAACTTTAACTGCTAGGCCACGCCGCTGGGTACCAGAAGTCTTTTGAAAAGTTATTTTGGGGTGGAATTTAGGCACAGCTGTGATGATGCTGAGGGGACACCAACATTCCTTGTATTGTAGTGTCTGATTTGAATTCTGGCTCAGTTTCCCTGTCAGCTTCCTGCTGGCACAAGCTCTAGAAGGCAGCAGCTTCATGGACTTGGGTTCCTGAAACCCATGCGGGAGACCTAGGTGGAGTTTTTGGCTCCCAGCTTTGGGTTTGCCTAGCCCTGTCTGATGTGACCACTTGGAGAGTTAGACAGGATGGAAGATCTTTCTTCTGCTTTTCCTTCCCTTCTCTTTTTAAAATAGAATGAAAATTTAAGAAAAAAGTTTTAAAAGATTGTTTTTGGGCCCAGGGTTATGGCCTAGCAACTAAAGTCCTCGCCTTGAATTCTCCTGAATCCTGTATAGGCACCGGTTTGTATCCTGGCAGCCACCCAGTTCCATGCTTGTGGCCTGGGAAAGCAGTTAGGGATGACACAAAGCCTTGGGACCCTGCACCCACGTGGGAGACCTGGAAGAAATCCCTGGCTTCTGGCTTTGGATTGACTCAGCTGCAGGCATTACAGGCACTTGGGGAGTGAATCATCAGACGGAAGATTTTCCTGTCTCTCCTCTTCTCTGTATATCTGACTTTGCAATAAAGAAAAATAAAGCTTAAAAAAAAGTTTATTTCTAAGAGATTATAAGTTTGTTTATATCATTAATCTGCAGTCTTATTCAAACAATTTGTCAAAATAGTTTGATTTTTAAGACTATAAGGTAATCAGTTTATCAAAAAATATGCATTTAGTGTATGTGTACATTTTGTCCAGTTACAGTATTGACACTAATTGCATTGATACTTTTCAGTGGATCTTTTTATAGGACAAATATTTTACTTTTATATTTTATGCTTTAAGGGATCTATTTTAAGTCACAAATTGTTTGTTAGTGTGCATTGGGTACTCACTCCTCCTTCACTGAGCTTTAGCATTCATTAAAATCACCCTGTGGGCCTGGAGCACCAGAGCTTAATGGAAGCCCCCCAAAAAGCAGCAATTCCCAGACATTGGCTTTCTAGTTTAGGTCTTCTACTTTATAGAATAATCTAGAATCATAGTTCATAGATGGAGCTGCTACAGTGTCAACTAGCAAGGTGACTGGCAGTGGTAGTGAGGACCTCCGGTGCCAAGAGCTCGATGCCATCTCACACAGGCATAGATCCTGAGGCAGAGCTTTGCCTGCTCTGTGAGGCCCTTTAGGTCTGCATGCTCACCTTGTTCCATTCTGCCCTGCACGGGCTCCAGGGAGGAGCGCTAAGTGTTAGCGCAGAAAGCCAGCGCAGAGAATGGACAGATTGATGTCTGTGCGCTTGTTCCTTGCTGACGTCCACTCTATGCACATGCATGGCGGTCTGCTGGAAGGCTGCCGGGCAGAGCATAGCTATGAGGTGCCAGTTTGCAGACTTCATGTGCTGAAGCATGTCAGTGAGCTTCTCCAAGTCTCTTCGAAGATGGATCAGTGATAACAGCTTTGCTCGGGAGCCGAGGATCAAATGTTCTGGAAGTTCTGTAAATTTTAACAGTGCATTGAAATTGAAATGTAGTGATGGTTTTCAAAAATGAGTTAACGCTTTATTTACCTTTTGAAAGCCTTTCTCAATGGAACCATGAAAAAAAAGAAGCTTTTTGGGTGGGCTTGATTGTTAAAAAGATGTTGTCCAGCTGTTTCTGTACTTAAGAGAAAATATTAAGCAAGATAAAGTAGGTTTACAGTGGAGCACGAAGGGTTTATATCAGGTATAAATAGGATCTAATAGCAGTTTGATTTGTTTGAAGCTGTAGTGTTTTATATAATAAGCGAGTTATAAATATTTCTTTAGCTTTTTTTAATACTAAAAATAGATTTTCCTCTGCCTGTATTGAGGTAGGATGAGCCCTGCTGAAAATATAAAAATGATCCATTTGATAGCACCTCTCTTATACAGTTCTGATCTCAGAGTTGTGTAGCCACTTGACAAATTGGTCTGCAAGTATTTATGGAACCTGTATTCCTAGAGAAGTAACAGCTGTGGAATATTCTGGAGATTGTGTTCAACCTCTGGCACAGCAGTCATTGTTTGAGAACATTCATAAGAAAAACTCTAATTTCTAGATGTCATTTTCTGAAATCATTTCTAGTAGAGTGCAATACTTTGTTCCTGAAATTCCTGTATATTGATTTTTCATAACTAAGTTTATGTGGGTAAGACATTTCAGCTTTGTAACTATGATTCCTGTCTTACCTATTGTTGATCTTTCCATGTTAGAAAATCAAGCTGTTGGAGTGGACATTTAGCTTTTTTTAAAAAAATAATGATTTATTTAATTTTTTGAGGAAGGCAAATTTACGGAGAGACGGATCTTCCATCCATTGGTTCATTCCCCAAATGGCTGCAATGGTTGGAGCTGAACCAATCTGAAGCCAGGAGCCTCCACTTGCCACCACCCTCGCACCTCTACCCTCCCACCCCGGCGTAGGTGCAGGGTCCCAGGCTTTTGACCATTCTCCATTGCCTCAGAAGGCCGTAAGCAGGGTGCTGGATGGGAAGTGGAGCAGCCAGGACACAAAGAAGCCAGGATACAAACTGCTGCCCATATGAGATCCCATTGTTTTCAAGGGGAGAATTAACCAATTGAACTATGGTGCCAGCTCCAACTCTTGACTCCAACTTTCTACCTGTGTAGACCCTGGAAGGTGGC